TGGGAGAAACTTCTATCAAAGGTTATCTTTGGCTGGGCGAGTGGCTCAGGCCTGCAATCTGGGAGGCTGAGGTGGGAGGATTGCTTGAGTTCGGAGTTCAAGACTAGCCTGAGCAAGAGCGAGACCTGTCTCTACTATAAATAGAAAGAATAGCCAAATGACTAAAAATAGAAAAAAAATTAGCCGGACATGGTGGCGCGTGCCTGTAGTCCCAGCTACTTAGGAGGCTGAGGCGAAAGATTGCTTGAGCCAGGAGTTTGAGGTTCTTATGAGCTAGGCTGATGCCACGGCACTCACTCTAGCCTGGGCAACAGAGTGAGACTGTCTCAAAAAAAAAAAAAAAAAAAAAAAAAAGTTATCTTTTGCTCATAGCCTCAATCATCATGAAATGGAATTGATTGATTATTATTTATGACAGGGTCTCAGCCTCCAGAGTACTAGCATTACAGGTGTGACACCACGCCTGGCTGTGAAATTGGATTTATATCATAGGCTATCCTTTATAATACTTTCTTCAATCTTAAAAGTTATACTACTCAGAGTTTACCGGAGTATGCCTCTTTTATGAAATGATGGTTATAAGAGATGGAAGTTGTTTTATTTTTTTTAAATATTCTTACTTGCTCCTCTGCCAAAAGTTTGTCAACTCTTGGAGGTTCTCAAAAACAGTTTAAATGTAACTGTCTGTGAAATTAAAAGTTGGGGGTGGGGTAGGAAGAGAAGATTTAAAACTTCACATACCTAAATTCAAGCTCATCTAGCCTCTCTAAGTCACTTCTCCAATTACTTCATTACTTAATATCATTTTATATATTATTTTCTGCTGGGAATGTTCTTCTACCTTTACATAACAGATAAAAACTTATTATCTTGAGGAAGTCTTTTCTAATTAAATCCTCCTGATAAGCCTCAACATTCTCATATTTACTATCTTTGTTTTTATTATCCTGGCATTTTGTAAGTGCACTCAAGGGAGGTGTGTACATTCTGTCTCAATGACAATATTGTGGACAAGGTTATGGATTGAATCCCTTCACTTTGTGAGACCAGAATTAGCAGGAACTTACCTGTACTTATGTATTCTTTAATAAACTCAACAGCCTGAAAAGAGGTGGTGACAGAGAAAACCATAAATCAGCAATAGAGTGTATTTTCTGTAATGCTGCAACCCCTGGGGTTCCCAAGAACATTTCAGGGGGTCTAGACAGCCAAACTAGTCTCATAATACTAAGAAATTATTTGCCTTTTGTACTCATTCTCTCACAAGTATCCAGTGGAATTTTCCAGAGGCAACATGACCTGTGATGACATTATTGTTCTTATAGCCAATGGAATATTTCTGTGTTTTCTAGAAATTTCTAAGGTAAGCTCTTAGAATCTCCAATAACTTTTTATAGTGTAAAGGTGTCCTGATACAAAAATTTGAGAACTCTTGCTACAGAATGAGAGATATGAGGAAGGCAGCTTGCCTACTTAAAAAGAAAAGGAAGTAATGTCTTCTCATTTTCCTTCATATTTCCTACCAATCACCCCACTCTATAACTGGAATTTTCTAACATATTTGAAGAAAAGACGTAAAAGGAACTATAAATAGCTAACATTTAACTAGCTAGAGTGCTCTAGAGAAATAGCTTTGGGACAAAAGCATATTTTATGTATTTTGTTGCTGAGTAGAAAATTTCATCCCAGATAGTAAGAATTCTCAACTTAACCTTTAGTCAAATTCATATTCTGAAGTACTAACAGGATTCTTTTAAATTTATAGGTGCTCCACTTGAACCAAAGAGGAAAAAATTTGATAGTATCTCTCCAAAATATCTTTTTAAAGCCTCCTGTACTTGTTTTTCAGTGGGTAAGAATATTGTGCTCATGAGCCAAAGTTATAGGCTCAAAGTTAGCTTTGATCTGCTCCCTAAGGGTAGGACCTCACTTGCTAACCTTTGCCACTTGTTTCAAAGTCTCCCACAAACCTGTCAAGAGGGCCTGGGTGACATACTAAAGCTGTATCAGCACAAATTTATCTGTTTTACAGGAAAAACAACTCAAAGTACACATTTTTGTCACTTCAAAGATTATGTTCAGCCAGATAATTTTACATTGGTGGAGTTAAATATTTAAGAAACAATTTTTGTAAAACCAGGAGTTCCAGGCTCTGGGTACATTTCTGGATCAATTGAAAAAAATCCAATTTAAGAAGGCATGCAGACAGCCCCTTGGAAAACACTGGATGGGAGTAAAATTTCAATTATTCATAGTAATAGGAAGCAAAGACTATTATCAACTCAACTGCACAAATAATTGAAAAATATTGTAGCAATTTCGATTTAAAGCATACATTTCAAACAAAATACAGAGCAATAAGTACATGGATCGTGTACCTGTCCCTAAGTTAGGTGCTAACAATAGGACCTGAGTCCTAATAAGTAAACTGGTAAACCCCAAACACCTGAACAATACATAAACTAGCTCAACAGCTACCAAATAGCTGTCATTTCGCTTTATGAAAACTAATTCTGTTCTTTTTTTTTTTTTGAGACAGAGTCTCGCTTCATTGCTCAGGCTAGAGTGAGTGCCATGGCATCAGCCTAGCTCACAGCAACCTCAAACTCCTGGGCTCAAGCGATCCTACTGCCTGAGCCTCCCAAGTAGCTAGGACTACAGGCACGCATCACCATGCCTGGCTAATTTTTTTTTTATATATATATTAGTTGGCCAATTAATTTCTTTCTATTTACCGTAGAGACGGAGTCTCACTCTTGCTCAGGCTGGTTTCGAACTCCTGACCTTGAGCAATCCTCCCACCTCGGCCTCCCAGAGTGCTAGGATAATTCTGTTCTTAAATATTACGCCCTTCCAAGCATATCCAGCCTTAATGCCACAAAAAAAAACACACAATGAAAGGGACTAAGTAGTTTATGTGTCAGATAGCAGTATATATACTATACATACTGATTTTTTGGCAAACAATTCTTTAGATGTAAATGGCCACTTACAATGAAAAGGCACGAAAAGAATCATCTACCAGGAACTGTCTCGATTGTCAATTTCAGAAAATGATCATAATTAAATTAATGCTGACACCTAGTGGCAAGAAAAAACATCTTTCTTTTATGTTAACCTGAATTGTACCTTCCAAACCAAAGACACTTCCAAATTCCAAAAAGATTATCCATTTAATCTAGTTAAGAATTATCAATTAGCCTTAAGTAAAGAATAAGAGAACAGTTCCCCATTACTAAAAAACCACATTTGCAAATGTAGGGGGCAGAATCTTTTCTTGGGGGTGGGCTGTGGTACAGAGGGACTCCTTATTAAAAAAAAAAAATAAGCATTTGAAATTATAAATTGGTAATCTTAAAAGGCCAGAAGATATAACTGCTTAAAAATTAAGAATGCATCTGAATATCTTGAAAGAGATGCTATTAATTAATAAATGGTGTTTTACTTCTGGTTAGGATAGGATAGTTCCCCCCTTTAAAAAAATTTTTAATTTTATAAAAGCAAATGACTAATAAGCAAAAAACCAGTTTTCCTCAACACTTAAAAAACAGAACTGTGGATATTCCAAGCTTTTAGGAGCCATTGTCTGGCTGAATGGCTCAATTCAATCAAATGTTATGCCCAATTTCCAAACCCCACGAATGTACAGTGTGAATTTTGATCAAACACCATTCTTGGTAAAAATATGAAGGAATATTTAAGATTCTACATGAAATTTTAAGAAGAAATGTTTTGGAAATTCAGGAAGAATCAATTTTGAAATCTCTATTTTCAACTGCAGAAATTTTCCATCCTGCAGACTGGCATGGTTGAACTGCTATGTTGACAACAAAAAAATTGGCCATAAGTTTGAATTAATATTTATAAGCTTTCTTTTACAAATAAGTATTACTTTCTTCAAAAATGCAATTATAATAAATTTTAAACTGGAGTGTAAGCCTAAAATATGGCTTATTGATTAATAAGAAAATGCTATACACAGCACATTCAGAAATATGTCTTTGTCCTCTTAAAAACAATCTTGAGCACAGATTTCGCTTCTACACAGAATCGGTTTGCAATCACTTCAAATGTCCACCTCCTTCAATTTTACCACTTCAAGATAAATTCACTGAAAGGAAGCAAAATATTTGACTAAACTAAGACTTCATCAAACCTCTGAAGTGAAGTAAAATCCCAGTGGCAAATTCATTATTTTTAAAAATCATGGACTGTACTACTGTGATGTGAAGGTACAAATAAACCTCTCCTAAAGCTGGCGACTGAGCGAAAATCACTAGTTAGAAAATGAAATGCAAGAAAAAAAAGCCCCTGTTAAGGGGCAAGTAGCTTTGCTATGGATGGAAAGTGTCAAGTGTGAGATAAAGCCGGAATGGTCAATTCCCAGGGCTCTACTTTAGTGGTCAACTAGGTCGCTGGGGTTAAGGCCACAGAAACACGTTCTAATTCTTCAGAATCTCTACCAGGATTTTGGCGGAACTGAGCAACCCTACTTTATCTTCTCGAACCAGGAAACTTGGGGTGGTTGGGGGCACAATACGTTATTCCTGCAAAACAAACCAAACCTGGCTGGGATCATTTGCCTACTTTGAGTTTTCTTCCCCAACACGGGCTGGAGGAGAAAGCAGGCGGTATACAACAGGCAAGCGACAAGACCCCTTGGGCACGGGGGTCCAGGCACGAAGGGGTGGAAGGTGGACAGCCCAACTCCGGTACGCCTCCGCCGCGGGCCAGCTCCCAGGCAGCGGGCAAGGAGCCCCCCAAGGTGAAGTTCCCTCAGGAGGTCGCCCCCAGCCCCGCAGCAAGGGTGCAAAAGGGAACCAGCCCACTCCAGCTGACAGGCGCCGAGGAAGAGTTCGGGACGGGAGGGGCGCGCTCCGGGGTCTGGAGCCGGCTGGGGCTCGCGGGGGCTCCCTCCCCGGGGAACGCGCTCTCCTCTCCTCCCCTCTCCAGACCTCGGTCTAGGGGAGAGGGAGGCGGGGGTCCCGCGGGGGCCTCACCAGGCGGAGCTGGCTAGTTTCGTCGTAGGACATAAAGCTGAGGATGTTCTCGATGGCTACGATGGGCAGCGCCACCAGCGTGTTGTTTTGAGGCAGCTGGTCCAGAGCCAGCGCTGGTGTTGGGGGCGCCTGGGACCCCGGCTGCAGGGGCTGGGGCGGGGGCGGTGGGGGCTGTCGCTGGGCAGAGCTGGTGGCCGAAGAGGAGCCGCCGTCGCCGTGGCCGACGCCTCCTTCCTCTGCCATCCGCTCCTCCGACGCCGCCGCCATCTTGGGGGTTTGATTCCTTCCCCCACTGCAAGGGGAACATGGACACTTCCGGCGCGTCACTTCCTCCTCCTGCAGCCTCCGGGGAGGGGGGGCACCTGGAGGATGGAGGAGGAGCCTGAGGGATAACAGGCTGAGTTAGCCCGACGTGGTGCTCTTGAACTGGAAGTGAGGGAAGAGCCTGTAAACTCCAATAAAGGTGCTTGTCATCAACCGTTTTCTCTAAGATTGGCAACTACTTGAGAGCAAGGGACTCCTGTTTATTAAAATGAATTTCGCTGGTGAAGTTTTCTTAAAGAGCTTCCTGACAAAGGGTGATGAGAATAATGTCACCTAATAAGTGTAGATGGAAATATAGCTAGAATATCACCATTTTTCAAGAATCATAGTAATAATTGATTTAGGTACATAAAAACGAACGAAATACTGATGAAAAACTACAACATGAATGAACCTTGAAAACACACTAAGTGAAAGAAGTCAGATACAAAGGACCACATATTGCATGGTTCCATTTTCATGCGATGTCTGAAATAGGCAAATCCAGAGAGGCACAAAGTGAGTGGTTGCCAGAGGCTGGGAGGAGTGGAGAAAGGGGAGTGACTGCTAATGGGTGCAGGATTTCTTTTTGGGGTGATGAAAATGTTCTGGAATTAGATAGTGGTGATGGTTGTGCCACCTTGTGAATATACAAAAACCACTGAATTGTTTATTTTTTTATTTATTTTTATTTTTTTTTGAGACAGAGTCTCGCTTTGTTGCCCAGGCTAGAGTGAGTGCCGTGGCGTCAGCCTAGCTCACAGCAACCTCAACCTGCACCTGCTCAGCGATCCTCCTGCCTCAGCCTCCATAGCTGGGACAACAGCATGTGCCACCATGCCCAGCCAATTTTTCTATATATTACTTGGCCAATTAATTCTATTTATACTATGACGGTCCTCGCTCTTGTCAGGCTGGGTTTCGAACTCCTGACCTCCAGCGTCTGCCGCTCAGCCTCCAGAGTGCTAGGATTACAGGCTTGAGATACCACGCCCGGCCCAGATAACGTGTTTTCATATAGCTCCTTGCTCAGACTCGGTCTTGAACTCCTGCATCAAGCATCCGTGCCTCGGCTCCCGATGCTAGGTAAGATGGAGCACCCGTGTGGCTGCTATTGCTTTGTTTTTGCGAGAGGTCTTGCTTTGTGCTCAGGCTGGCAATGAATGGCGATGATTTACAACTCACTGCAGCTCAAACTCCCCAGCAGCTGGACTAGAGCCATGCCCATTGCTGGTGAAACTTTTTTTTTTGAGAGAGCTCATTTGTTGTCACAGGCTTAGGTGAGTGCGTGGCGTCAGTAGCTCACGCCAACCTCAAACTCCTGGGCTCAGACGTCTTCTGCCTCAGCTCTCCCGAGTTAGCGGACTACATCATGCGCCACTCATGCCTGGCTAATTTTTTTTTATATTTATCCAGTTGCCAAATTTCTTCTATATAGGTAAGACGGGTCTCCCTCCTTGCGCAGGCTGGTTTTGAATTCTGACCTCCCAGCATCCGCGCTCGGCCATCCAGAGAGCTAAGGATACAGTGTGACCACCGGCTGGCCTGACTTTTTTTTTGAGAGTCTCTCTGTATTGCCTGGGTCTAAGTGTTGCATTACCATACGCTTCCTGCACCTCCAACTCCGGGTCCAGTCATCTCCTGCTTCAGCCTCACATGAAGCTACTAACAGCATAGTGTTACACCTGGCTAATTTTTCTTTTTGTAAGATGGGGTTGCTATGTTCGTCGGCTTATCTTGAACTAGCCGCCTTAAAGCAATCCTCCCACTGTGCCTCCCAGATGCAGGATATATAGGTTATAAGCCATTGTACCCAGTCTAAACTCTTGATATGATTTTTTTTTTTTCTCTGAGAATGAATATAGGGCGACAAAATCTGCAAAATGGGTGAAACTCGTGACAGGCTCTTAAGATTCTATATCAAGGTATAACAAACATTCCTAAACCACAGACATGCAACTGAAGATATTACAGGAAAGGTTCTTTTCAATTCAAAAAAGTGATATTTCTAAAATAGCTAGAACTAAATTTATTATTTATTATTTTTTATTCTTATTTTCCCCCAGGATGTATAGGCACAAACATCTGTTACGTTATGTCATCTCCACCCATGCGGAGATTGTTAGCAGCTTTCCCCTCTACAATGCCACCTCGTCCCATTAGTTCGTGTTTACCTCGCCCTCCGCAACCCTAATCTGGAATATGCTACCATGTTATCACCAAGTTTGATCAGCGGCCATTTGTGACTGATACAAGGGAACCTATGCTTTTCCGACTTGTATTCTCCTTAGATACGGGCTCAAGCTCATCCAGGAAAATATAAGAGCTAGATCCTGTCATTTCTTATTATCAGATATTCCTATTTAAGAATATGGAATAACTTCATGATTTGAGGTTCATCCTTGACCACAGGGCCATGCTAATCTTCTCGTTGTTCAATTTTAGTATATTCTGCATAGATAGCAAGCTCAATAGAATTACTTTCTTTTTTTTTTTTTTTTTTTTTTTGAGACGATCCGCTTTGTTGCCCAGGCTGGGAGTGAGTGCGTGGCGTCAGCATCTCCGCAACCTCAAACTCTGGCTCGAGTGATCCTTCTGCCTCAGCCTCCTAGGTAGCTGGGACTACGCATGCCCACAATGCCCGCTAATTATTTTTTATAAGATATCAGTTGCAATTTAATTTCTTTCTATTTTATAGCGACGGGCTCCTTCTTGCTCAGGTGGTTTGACTCCTGACTGACAATCGCCCGCCTCCGCCGTCCCAAGACTAGATACATGGCTAGCCCACGCCCGGCCTAACTATTTCCTACTAAACCAGTATCAACATTTGTTCAGTTACTGAAAAAAAAAGTCAGGAACCAATACGATATTTTTAGAGAAAAATATTTTCTATCAACATCACTTTTATTTTTGCAAAGTCTTTCATATTACTTTAACAAACACGGATTCAGTATCTGCATGCTTCAATCTACTGATGGTTTCTTACCTAGATAATTCTAGAAAAACACATGAACACATAAGCATCATTTCATGAGCTATCAGTGTGATAAATCATTACATGCCATATACTACGGGAAAAACCACATATTACTTGTGAAAGAAAGGTGAAACAAAATAAGATCATAATACTGATACAAAAAATTTTAGATCTCAGATCCTCAAATAATCTTTGGAACTCCTTCTGGTCCCTGGACTCACATTTTTGAAACCCAGTGCCCATGATCCTGAATAAACCACATTGCCAAAACCCAGTATTGACTTTATGTAGGAAAAATAAACTTTTATGTGCACTGGAAAAGAAAAAGAAGCTTCTTGTATGTGAAATGAGGGAATAAAGAGGGCTAACTGTCACTTGACATTTAAATCAACAGATAATGCCAAATAAAGAAATCAGACAAAAAGCTTAATGCCTCTGGGAATAAAAATGGGATGTATCAACTATTTTTTTTATTTTAAACTATTGTGCTTTTTTTTTTTTTAAACAGTCTCCTATTCGTTTGCCCGGTGAGTGCGTTGCAATCAGCCTAGCTCACAGTAACTCAAACTGCTGGCTTCAAGCGATCCTCCCTGCCTCAGCCTCCCAGTAGCTGGGACTCACAGCCAGCACCACTGATGCCTCGGCTAATTTTTATATATATATTTTTGTTATTCAGTTAATTTTTCTATTTTTTTTAGTAAGAATGGAGGTCTCGCTCTCTGCTCAGGCTGGTCTCAAACTCCTGAGCTGAAACAATCCTGCCCGCCTCAGCTCCCAGAGTGCTAGGATTACAGCATGAGTCACCCAACGCTCCGCTATTTGATATTTTAAATCATCAGATGGACAGATATTTTTAAAAAACCCGAGGCACCCTTTGATACACCTTGTAAAAAACACTTATTGTCTCTGTAGACCTACAACTTGTTGATAATTTCTCGAAGACAATAATGTTTTGCAGCCATATACTTTACAAGAGACAATTAATGGTCAATTACTGCTTAACAATTTCAGGGGTATGCTGTTAGTATACACGAGTTTGCTACTTGAATCTAGCTAACTTCAAAGGTTTGGATATCTTTTCCAATTATAATCAATCATCCTATGAACTCAACTTTAATGAATACTGACTAGTATTAAACATAAGATATACATTGACGTGATGAGACTAAGAACAAATAATTGACCAGATATGTATGTCAATTAAGGAAGAAGTCACATGACAAAGACAATTTGAATTAGGCTTTGAAGAAAAGGACAAAGACGCTGATTAGAGTGATGGTATCGCAAATGCACAAAGTCTGGAATGAACCAAACCCTGCAGCAACAAACAATCTGTAATACCTGATCACATGTTGTGGGCAAAGCTGGTATGTTAAACACCCCATGTTTGAGCCAGCGGAAATCAGACAATATCGCGATGATAACTTTAAGAAAGAAAAGACCACTCATCTCTTGGGGAAAGAATCTGATACTGTGAAGACTGTGTTTGCCTCATTTTTCTGTAGCAACGTATAATAGGACGGAAAGATGGGGTTGTCGAATTCACTGGAGATAGCTCCAATTAATCATAGTGATTCCCAATGAAAAGGGAAAGGTTAGAAAATATGCTTTAAATCGAGCCTCAACTGATAATTAATGTTAAAAAGTATGGTAACAGACAAGAAAATAGAGTCACAAAGATAATAGAAAGCCAAAGCCACATCAAGAACTTTAAGCATAAGCCTGGGGCATGTGTTGGTAAAGCTACCCGGGCAGGCTGGTGCATTTCTTGACACCCAGGAGTTTGAGGTGGAGAGCAACTGACTGTGCATCGGCACTCCCCCTGGTAAGAGTGAGACTATCTAAATATAAATCAATGTTATAAGCATAGATTGGGTGCAGTGGTGTGTCTGTATCCCAGCCCACTCTGGCAGGCTGAGGGGAGAGTATTGAGGTCAAGAATTTGAAGCTGCATGCATAGGAGGAAGGGAGGAAAGAGGAGGAAGTGGGAAAGTGGAGAAGACAGGGGAGGGAGGAGAGAGAAAAAAGACAATTTTAGCA